TGGATCACCAACAGTTGAATTTAAGCCTTTCAGAGGGCTTAGACAGGGTGATCCACTATCACCATTCCTTTTTAACATTGTGGCTGAGGGTTTAAACATCCTGTTGGGCAGAGCATTACAAATGGGTTTGATTAAAGGGGCGGGGGATGATGCAAAGACCATCAACAAAAAAAAAAAAAGAGAGAGGGGGATGATGCAAAGACCATCATAGTGAGACAGCCCAATCCCAACTAGGTTGAGACTACGCAACTCGCACATGAAAGCACCAAACCAAGTACCTGTTGGTGAGAGACCAATAGATACACAGAAAAACAAACCACAGCTGACCAAACAGCAGCATAGCCACCACTGACACTAACCAGATACTGAGACAACAGGGACATATAGCAGCAAAAGACACAAAAACAACAGTGGAACATGATGCTAATAAACACCCATACACCAGTGTAACACAGCCACCACTGAAGCAAAAGTTACCCTTTAAGATCCCACCAATTTACCATATCAACCCAGGTCACCTGAAATCCACTCAAAACACCAATCTAGTAACCACTACAGACCAGGACACACCAGATACACACCAAATATCAATCCACAAATTAAAGCAAACCTAATAATAGCCCTCAATTTAAAGCAGACCATATGATATGCAATGCTTATTTCCAAATTAGGCAATCTAGTCTATACTTGTTTGCTGCGCGCACAACATAGTAATTCTAGGCTAATAATTGGTTTAAGAACATATAACGTTTTCAAAAACGGATATCATGGTTAGTAGAGGCCGGTCTTCGAACCGGGCGAAATGGGGTGCTCATAGCTGACTTTCCCCGATCGTACCCAAGCTCCCCGAGCCGAGACAACTCCGGTGATGACGGACATGTGGCCTTCGGCACCGAGTCAAGGTTTCCTAAGTTCTCCCATAAAAAATATTTAGGTGGCGACTCTGTATCTGGCAAAGCAGTCCATGTTTGGCACTACTTTTTCAAAAATCTGTTTCTCAAAACGATTTGCCAGATTTGGACTCTTTGGTTCAGATTAAGAACCGTGACACAAATCGAGTCCGAACTGTAGCGTGAGGCCCACGCGGGCGCGTCTACAGGGGTATGGGAACACTGCTGCCAGAGGTTGGTACATGGAGCTGCCCAATGCAGTCCGTCGCATTGTTGACCGAGTCAGCTTTTTGCATGGAACTCTCGTGCCTCACTGCGAGCAGGCCCCTTCTTGCTGCTTTGGTGGAGAGGTGGTAGGATACCACCGACTCCTTCCACCTTTCTTCCACCGGGGAGATGACGATGACTCCCTTCGACTTCTCCATGCTCACAGGCATCGGAGTGGGGGGTGATCCGATCCCCTTTGATACAGACATGGACGAGTGGGACGCCGCTCAGCTATACTTGCTCAGCACTCAACCACATCTCGCTCGAGCAGGGTTTGTGCGGTACTCATGGTTCGAGGATCACTTCCGGATCGAAGCGCCTACTACCCGGGAGGAGGAGGAGCAGTACGCTCGTCGCTTCATTATGTTCTTGCTGGGGACCACGCTCTTCACCGACTGGGCGAACACCGTCGCCCTCTATTTGCTGAGCGCGCTTGTGGATGTGACACAGATCCGTCGCTATGACTGGTGTGGCGCGAGCTTGGCCACTCTTTACGGATATATGAGCTCATCATTCCGTCTCAGTGGATAGTTGTTTGGGGACTACTGGCGAGCCTAGGAGGTACATGTTCCCTTTTCTGTCTTTTTAGTTACTTTTACATAATCTGTACTCTATACACTACACGCACGCAATCTGATTTACACTAGTTGTACACTGCACACACTGCACAATACACTGCACATACTGCATTCTGCTTTATCTGTATACTACTCTGTCTGATAATCATACTCATATCTGCTCTATTACATTCTGTAGTTGTGGGTGTATGCCTACTTCCCTAGGCTTGCCCTGGTACCAGATGAGGAGATGCCCTTCAGCGTTCCATTTTCTCACCGCTTCGACGTGAGATGCGAGCGGAGGCCGCGGGAGCCCTTCATGTTCTTTCGCCGCTACTTTGACACCATCATCGCAGCCGAGGTATGTCAAACATTTCAGTTTATTAGCTTTTCTTTGCAATGTACCTTAAATAACAAATAACAAACTGTATTTACTGCTATTTGCAGATCACCTGGTGTAGACACCCCATTTTTGACTGACCTTAAGACTTAGACATCACCGATTGAGCGCTCGGTGACGTTGCATATCGTGCTCGTTCAGAAGTCTCAGAGTCGCGGCCGTAAGCCCCGCCTCCGGATTTCTGAACCCTCTTTTGTGCCTTATCTCGGTTTGCGAACCAGACTCATTTTTCTCTGTTTCTTTTCCCGAGGGGAGGGAGAGGTCCCGTAGACCATCTCTCAGTGGCCGTGGGCTACATTTTTTGACCGCACGCCATTTTGCCCATTTCGGAGTCTGGTTTTCGGTTTTTCGGGACCGTTGGCCGTGTGCCTCGGTTCGGGACCGCCTAACCATCTCCGTTTGCTCTGATTTTTGGCGTACATCTTATTTTCTCCCTTTCAAGGGACACTGGGGTCTGAGAAACCCACTTCATGGCCGAATGCCACTTTCGGTGCTTAACAGCCTATTTTCGGGACCCCGAACTGCGTGTTTTGGCCCCCAAGCATTCGTTTTGCATCGGTTTTTGTTCATTTTTGGCAGGTACCTCTGTTTTATCACCGGGAAGGCCGTAAAAGGGTGTGGCCCCCGAGCATTCGTTTTGCATCGGTTTTTGTTCATTTTTTGCAGGTGCCTCTGTTTCTTCACCAGGGAGGTCACTGGAGGGTGGGAGGCCAGCAATTATCTTGGCAACCAGTTATGTTCCATTTTCGCCCTCCGACACTCGTTTTTCGCACTTCCGGGCCAATGTTGAACACCTTGGAGCCATTTTCTTCAAACCCAAACCACATATTCGTGATGTACACACATGGGAGGACCCTAAAAGTTCATGGCCGGCCACTAATGTTTCTTGACCCTTTTGAACCCCTCCTTCCGAACCAATGTTGAACACCCTTGGGCCACTTTCTTGAACTTTGAACCACATATTTGTGTTGTACACACATGGGAGGACCCTAAAAGTTTATGGCCGGCCATTAATTCCATTTGAACCTTTTGAACCCCTCCTCAAAATGGCTTGTTCTCTCTCCTGTTTTAGAGTTTCCAAATTCGAACCACAGAGTTGTGATGAGGGGACCCGGGAGGCCACCATTTTGTGGTGGCCGGCCGGCCACCTGCAACAAAAATACCTGGCCGGCCATGATCCTCACACTGTTCACTTTACAGCTGTACAACTGTTTCCCCCAGAAAATATCTATATCCGGGGGATATTTTGTGGGGGAACAAGGGCCTCAATTCCCTCCACTTTGGCCTAAGAGTCTTCTCTCCCTATCTTGCATAGATTGCTGGCCTCCCAACTCAAGAAAGAAGGTTAGAAGGATTGGTTGGAGCATATACATACATATCACCCCATTTCCTTCAAGTTTTGGGCTCCATTTCTTCATCATCTTCAAGCTCTACCATCACCACTCCATTTCAGAAGCAAGAGGAGGAACTCCAGCAGCTTAGAGTCATCAAATTTGGTCCAAGGAGCAACAAAAGCATTGGTCTTCAAGGGTGAGTAGCATTTCCCTCTTTTCTAGCTCATTTTTGCACCATTTATTAGCCTCTCTTTCTTGTATATTTGAGCTCCGACCAAAACTGAAAAGGTCATTTTTTTGAGCTCATTTTCTTGTTTCATTAAGGGCTCAACCCGGTTTGAGCCCTCCATATTGCACTTGCTTCAATATCCTCCTTGAATGCCATTTTCTTGCATGCTTTGGCAGCCTATCATGCTTCTGTTTTTGGTCTTTTTACAGGCCTAGAA